CCAGTTACAGGGGATCTGATGCTTTCTTCTGACCTCTGCGGGCATTGCACGACACGGGTGCACTTACACACATGCAGGCAATACACTCATACACATTAAAAAAATACATATAATAAATAAAATATATTAAAAAATAGACAAGCCCACAAGTTTAAATACTTCTATGGTGTCTTGTAATGTACTTCAGACATTTATATTCAGTCCATGAGCTGTCCAATCCCTTCATAGTCCCCAGGACAGTTTCTCAGTTCGTTTTTTTTAAAAAATATTTTATTGTTTTTTTTTATGTGTATGAATGTATTGCCTGCATGTATGTGAGTGCACCCATGTTGTGCAATGCCATGGAGGTCAGAAGAGGGCTTCGGATTCCCCTGGAACTGGAGTGAAGGACGGTTTGTAGCCGTCATGTGGGTGCTGGGAATCAAACCTGGGTCCTCTGCCAGAGCAGTCAGTGCTCTTAACCACTGGGCCATCTCTCCATCCCCAGTTTCTCAGTTCTTATTCTCTCCTCTCTGTCTCTTTTTGTCTTTCTCTGTCTCTCTGCCTTTCTGTCTCTCTCTTCCCCCATTTCTCTCTCTGCCTCCCAATCTCACTATGTATCCCAGGCTAGCTTTGAACTTGCAATCGTCCTGCCTCACCTTCCCCAGTGCCGGAATTAGAGGCATCATTCACCATGCCCAGTTTACATGCTGCATCTAAATAGTATGTATTCAGTACATCTCTTAACACCCATAATAGCTGCCAATGGAGCCTAAATCTCCTATTCTTGCATTTAAGAACATTTTATCAATGTCATCATTTTCAATTTTCCAAGCTGAGGTCTCATGATTCCTCTGTGAAGACTCCCCCAAGCTGAGTGTGATGGCTCCTGCCTGTAAACCCAACACTTGAAAAGTTGAAGCATGAGGGTTGCCATAAGCTTGAGACCAGTCTATGCTACATAGTGATTTCCAGGATAATCTAGGCTACAGAGTAAGACCATGTCTTACCCCTTCAAACAACAATAGGAACAAATGAACTCCTTCACTAGCCAAGCCAACCTGCTCACCTCAAATATATGGTCTCGCTCCATGCACTTGCTCACGTTGTTGCCCTCATACATACACATTGCTTGAATGCCTCTCTCTCAAGCTCCACTTTCATCTCTTTTAAAACAAAACTGAAATAGGCTCATTTTAGGAAGCTGGTCCTGACCACACCCAACTGATGCTGTTCAGCTCTGGGGCACTCACATGTGCCTACTACATACCCTGTTTTTGTTGTGGTAGGCAGGATCATAAGACACCACTCTTTCCAAAGAATCCTGGTTCCTGGCTTGCCCACACACCTTTGTCCAGTTAGTAAACCAAACAGTAATCTAGATTCTGCAGTGAAGAAATTGAGCAGATTTATTTATTTATTTATTTAATTTATTTATTTATTTTATTTTATTTATTTATTTATTTATTTATTTATTTATTATGGTACTGGGGTTGGGACACAGGGACTTATATCTGTTAGGCAAGTACTCAACTCAGTCCATTTAGGGGATTTAACTGCAATTTCACATTAGATGATTTTTAACATATATTTAAAAGGTTTTAAAATTATTTTTAATAACGTGTGTGTGCAAGTGCCTGCTGAGACAAGAGGTGCTGGATCCCTCTGGAGCTGGATTTACAGGTGGCTGTGAGCTGCCTGATGTGCATGCTAGGAACTGAACTCTGGTCCTCTGGAAGAGCAGTAAGCATTTTAAGCACTGAGCTATCTCTCTAACTCCTGAAGTTAAATGATTTTAAGATATGGAGATTATCCAGATTGGGCCTGATTTAATCAGATAATCTCATAAAAGTAGACTGGATTCTCCCTGAGGAAAAAAGATTTAAAGTGTGAGAGAGGGTTAATGAGAGAGAAATAGTCTGTTTCTAACTGAAATGGAGTAGGTCACATGACAAGGAAGGTAGGTGGCTTCTGGGAGTTGTGAATGGTCCCCATTTGGCAGTTAGTAATAAAATGGGGCCCCCAGTCCTACCCCCACAAGGAACTGAACTTGGTCTACAGATTGTGGTAATTTGTTAACAGTGATAGAAAATGAATTCACTTTTTTTTTTGCAGATTTTGCTTTTGTTCATTTCATATGTATGAATTAGAAGACACCATGTTCTTAGATGAGTGGGAAAGGGTTTTTGAAATTTGTTTTTGTATACCCTTCCCACCACAGCCATAATAGAATGCTATTAGGGAGACTTGCCTTATCTGATATGTTGGCGTTAATGGGAGATACAAATTGTTGACCACGAAGTGCCTGCTGTTAAGCAGAAGCTAAAATAATTATTGTCAAGTGCCTCCTACCTCCCATGCTAAAAACCAATTCCTGTGCATCTGATAACTTTGGATCTCTTTACACAGATGTCACTTCTGTCCCAGGAACTCTGAATGCCCCATTTAAAATTTCCTCTCTCAGACTTGTCCTTCACCCTTTCTACCCTAATTCTGTTAATGGCTACTTCGAGTCTATCCTCTTGTTTCAGGACTTAAAGCTGCAGTCCCTTTTGACTTTTTGCCACCACATTCAATCTACTGCCAAGTCCTCTTTATTCACCCCCTCCTTTCCTCTGTTGACTATAATACTGAACTGGGTTCTCTTTGAAAAGAAGAGATTCCAAATGTGGAAGGGAGTTAATGGGAGAGACATTCTGTTTTGCAGTCTTTGAAGCTGGAGTAGGTCACATGGCAAAGAGTGCCGATGACCTCTTGGAGGTGGGATTCCCTGACACAGTATCTCTCCCCTGCAGCAGCACTAGAGTCCTGGAGCTGTTCTGTTCTCTGGGGACCCATCTCTGATTAGCACAGCTCTAATGATGTCACTTCTCTGCTCAACCACCTTCCAAGGACTCCATTAGCTTGGCATTCAAAAACTCTTCATGACTTAACTCAAACCTGCCTTTCTCATACTTTCTACAATTCTTCAATGTGTATTTTGTCTGCCTTCTAAGTGATTTTTGAATTGCTCTTTAAAAATGCTTCTTTCAAACTGTTATTGCTTTTGCAGGTCCATGTACTAACTGTGACTGTCCCCCGCAACCTGCAGCTTTTTCACGCACACCTTAATCCGTTACTTTTACCTCAGACCTGCTGTCCTTCCAATTCTCTGCCGTTGGATAGTATCGTACCTTGGACTCTTCTAAACTAGCTTGTTGAATTGTCAAGGAGGAAATGTGGTTCCGGAGCCAAATTGTGAGTGCCCAGAGCAATTTTAAAAAGCCTATTTTGCCTGTCTGAATTTCTCATTCCCGCTATCCCCAACCCAACACCATTTTATTCAACTTTACGGAGAATCCCTGGCCTAAATGTTGGAACTGAATTGCAGACCTTTGTCGCAAAGAAAAGGGATCCAGGGTCCATTTTAATGTACTATTATTATTCTTTTCATTTATTCTTTTACTTTTCCATTTTTATTATTTTGCTTTTCTGTGATTTTAACCAGTTACCCCAATCTCCTGTGTCTGCAAGTGTGTACCTTAACAGTTTTGCTTTTTTTAAAAATATATTTTATTTATTTTATGTGTATGAGTGTATTGCCTGCATGTGAGTGCACTCGTGTTGTGCAATGCTGTGGAGGTCAAAAGAGGGCCTCGGATTCCCCTGGAACTGGGGTTAAGGACAGTTTGCAGCCGCCGTGTGGGTGCTAGGAATCGAACCCAGGTCCTCTGCCAGAGCAGTCAGTGCTCTTAACCACTGAGCCGTCTGTCTAGCCCCACTGTTCTGCTTTTTAAAAGTATTTTATTTATTTTTATTTTATGTGTATGAGTATTTTCCCTGCCTTGTACTTAAGTGCACTACTGAGGGGCTAATGTCCTCAGAGGCCAGAAGAGGGCATCAGATCCTGTGGAATTGGAGTTATACACGGTGGTGAGCCACCCTGAGGGTTCTCTGGCAGAAAAGTGCTGTTTCTTCTTTCTTTCTTTCTTTCTTTCTTTCTTTCTTTCTTTCTTTCTTTCTTTCTTTCTTTCTCTTCTTTCTCTTCTTTCTCTTCTTTCTCTTTTTTTTTGTGACAGGATCACCCTACAGCCCCAACTGGCTTGGAACTAGGTATGTAGACAAGGCTGACCTCGAACTCACAGAAATCCACCTGCCTCTGCCTCCCCGAGTGCTGGAATTAAAGAAGTGTGCCACCTGAGACTTCCTCTTAACCACTGAGCCGGCTCTCTAGCCCCACATTCTCATTTCCTAGAGAACCGGTTTGCTTGTGCCGACTCTGCTCTTTGGGACATCTAATCTTCCCTCTCATCCCCCCACCCCAAGCCAGTGGTTTGGTAGTTCACTAATGTTCTGTTCTCAAAAGAAAAGGAGTCAGGAATGGTTGCACATTCTTGTATTCATGGCCCTTGGGAGACTGAGGCGACCTTAATTAAGGCCAGCCTCTGGAAAACTTAGTTTAAGGTTAGCCTGTACTACTTAGTGAAGCTTTGTCTCAAGAAACCAAAAGTACAAAAACAACAATTAACCAGTCATTAAAACCGGGTATGGTGGCGCACGGTGGTAATCCCAACTTTTGGGAGGTGAAAAACAGGAGGAACAGGAGTTCAATGTCATCTTCAGCTACATAAGCAACAAGTTCGAGGTCAGCCTGAGCCACTGTCGCCCTTGTCTTAAGAAGCAAAAAAAAGTACATAAATGTCAAAAGCAAACTTCTCAGGGCTCGTCTTCAAATCTCCAAATGGGGACAGAGTCTTTCCACTACTAAATCCTTGGTGAGCTGAAGCCTTTGGTGGGCTCCCAGGCTAGCCTTGGCGGGCACCCCTGGCTGTGGGCTGGGGTTTGAGGCTGGGCTAGAGTAATATAAGCGATTCCGCCCCCCC